AGCGTGGCCGATTTCGAGCCAATAAATCAAACTGACCGGCCGGGGATGAGTCCGGCCGGATCTCCATATCGAGATTCTTTAGCATATAGAGTGTGGCTTGCGTAACCCCTCGGACTTCGCGGACGTAGAAAGCACGAAAGGCGGCGCCCTTCTATCTCTCGTCTTCCACCATCTCGTGTTCCACCCCTGACCGAGAGAGAGAGGGAGCGAGATGGTCCACGAAGCGGCTCGTTGTTTTATGAGCCGGCCAGCTCGAGGAGGCGGCCGGTTGACTGAATAAAAATTACGGAATATGTTGCATATAAAGTAAGTGAAAAACAGACCGAGATGATGAATTACCACGGGACCAAGCGGGGGTGGCGAAGATAACGGCCAACGCCATCGATCACTGGCCCTGGCCAGCAATGACGCGACCTCTTTTCTCCTCCTTCCGACCGCCAGCCACCACCTCCTTTGCCTCCTCTTATTTTCGGCTTTCTTCTCTCGCACGCACGCACGAACGAACGAAAGCACAGAGAGAGAGAGAGAGAGAGTCCATTTGCCGCTGAAAAGGGAGAGAAATCCTCGCGATACGATTCCAGCGACAGGATACACGATGAAAGGTGTAAAGTGAGTCTAAGCGCTGAGTAAATCCTAGGCGGAGAAGGGCTGGGCAAGGGCAGGAAAGAAGGTTCGCGGCGAGGATCGAAAGAGAAGAAGGGGCGGAAGGGAAAGGGAGGAAGAGAAGGCGTGAGAGCGGAGCAAACAGGGAGATAGGTAAGCAGGCAGGCAGGCAGGCAGGCAGGCAGGGAGACGCTTTCGAGGCTCGAGAGTCGCGCTGCAAATCTGCATTTCAGCCTTCCATCCTCGCGCCGCTGCTGGCGTCGTCTCCCGCGCGGCTTCCTGCAACCCGAGAGCTTTCGAACGGCTCGCAAACACTCCGCAGTCGCGGGAACCTCGCAGTCTGTGTGCGTGCCGCGTGTACACGCGCCTCTCCTTCGTCACCCTACTTTTGCTTTCGCGCCTCTATTTGCCTTCCTCGAATCAGCGTTTTCCGCGAATAATGCCTAGCCAAGAGAGAAAAAAACAAACTTTCCCTCTTCTTCTACGAAGAAATCAAATTTCCTCTTGGTCGATTAAACTTGCCCGGGAAGCCTTGAAAAACAGGAGAAAAAGGCGCGTGGCCAAAGCTCGTGGCGGCCGGATGAAAAATCGCTTTCCGCGGCCGGCCTGGCCGGAAGGAGGGCGCAAGAAGAGGCGAAGGCGAAGGCGACGGGTAATTAATCCGCGGTTTTTCCTCGTCTAATTAGTTGGATTTATTCCGTTGGTCCCCTTATCCAGCCTCCCTCCTCCCCCTTTTCCTCTCGCCGGTGGCGGTGCTCGCGTCAGCCTCCAGCAGGCGGCTCGACCGGTCGGTCTCTCCGACTCAACTTGGACGGGCTGATGTATGGAAATGTATGCGGGGAGACGGAGGCTCGCATTTTTCCAGCCACGTCGCCTTCATTTCCACCCCACTGGCCTCTTCTCCGCGAACCGCCACCCCCGTTCTCCGAAGCTCGAAGCTTCTTTCGACTGGTGCCACCCCCCCTTAATCACGCGTCTACTCGTTAAATTCGTGTCAGGCCGGTGTTTCTTGGGAATCGCCGCAGGGTTGGCTTATAAGGTCGCGGATTCTTGGACCGCCGCGCACGGTATTTCAAAACTACGTTTCATCTTGAAAGTGTATACGTACAAGATTATCGAAGATTACGAATTTTTCAATCGGAAGCAGAGTTCAATCTTAGGACTTGTTCTCGATGATCTATGCACTGTTCCGAGGGGATGCCGATGCGTGCAACCCTTTTGCTCTTCGACTTCGTTGCGCCATCGTGAATACGCAAAGAAGTAGTAATAGTAAAATTGAGGAACAAAGGCGGATACGATATGCAGAGAGTGGACGTAAGGCGAGAAACGTAGAACGCGCGACTTTACGTGACGCGTATAAATTCTTAATATTTATGCGTACACGATCGGCCGGGGCGGATTTTTGCGCTCGTTGTAATAATTAGCGGAGGTGATGCAACGGCGATCGTTGCTTTACATCGTTACGTGACCAAATTAATTTTTCATCCCGATCCCGTCGAGTTTTAATTAAACGCCGCGTTTCGGATAAACGCGGCTGCCGGTGTGTATGCAGGCGCGCGAGACGCGATGACGCGGCGTTTCGTTGGAATAATGAGAGCTTCGAGTACGTTTCCCGCAACGATTTCGATCGTGAACCAGGGGGGTGAAACGCGCCCACGGACGCGTGACAAAATATTAATGTAAATGACGCGCGGCTAGATTTCACTCGGCGCGTTTTACCTCGCGTGTTAACCGCGAGCGAGCAAGCGAGCGTTCGAATCGTAACTAAACAGAAATTTAAACGTCGAGATAGCGGCCAATCTATCTACGTTCCAGCGAGAAAAACTACGGCTGGTTAATGGTGTAGCGGTGAAAAAAAAAAGAAAAGAAACGATAAGCAACGTTCGTGGAGAAGAGGGATAATATTCTCGGGTAGAATTTTCGACCAGTTCTGCTTTTCGAAAGAGAAAGAGAGAGAGAGAGAGAGAGAGAGAGAGAGAGAGAGAGACGTAAACAGTTGGGTATTTGAAGGCATTTAGAGAACTCGCGGAGCTCCCTGGCGTGAGAAGGCGAGCAGCCTCGAAGAGGAAAAACAATCACAAGTGGTGGAGTAGCAGAGGAACGATCAGCAGAGCGGCAAGACAAAAGAATCACGCTGGTATGTTTGCGTTCTAGACGCGTCTTCCATTCCCCGCGACGAACGCGCTCTCTTTCTCGATCGACGATGCAAAAGAATCACGCGACCGAGCGAAACGCAAAGGTATCTGTTGATCGAGTGTAAGCAGAACGAATCTGTGGGTATGAAAAATCGTAAACATCTCGCCGCGATAGATATTGGTAATAGATAAAACGCGATAATTGCATTCGCGCATGAATTATGCATGGACCGCGGGTATACGCGATAATTGCCGCGCTTCGTTAAAACCAGATCACTCATTGTCAAGGCAAAAACGCGCGCGCCCCTTAGGAAGCCGTAAACTCGTCACGAGGAGTGATCGGTATCGTTACCGGGAATCGTCGTTGCCGATCAGCTATGACACGATCACGATCGAAAATTCTCCTCGATCGGTTGTTGAAGAAAAGAAGAAGGAGGAGGAGGAGAATAAAAGTGTACAGAAAGCGGAGGAAGATTTTTTTTTTGTGCATGTGGCAAGGTATGCTGCGGCGATGCCCAGCCACGTAGCTAGCAAAGTAGTAGGTACGTAATGGGTAGTAGCCAGTAGGTGGCAAGGCTGCGTGACGAGGCGATTGCGAACCGTGACTAAAATATTTAAAAATATGTATCTTTCTGGCCGGACTGCCGTCCAGTTCCAGTTCCAGTCCGGGACTCTAGTCGGAGACCGCCGCATGCCGCTTCCTCGGCCTCTCACCCCCTTGCCACGCCGTATTTATTTCGCGTTTCCTTCCTGCCCTCGTTGCCGGAGGGCTGCTCTTGCCCCCCCGACCTCTTCTACTCTCAAGTCCCCGCCACTTTTCCCTCCACCATCCGAATCTTCGCTCTATTTTCCCATCCAATTCACCAAAATCCGTTTTCTCTCGATACTCGCGGTATCGTCCGGTATCGTCGATTCTCCGAATGATAGTTTCCCAAGCTCTCGATTCTCGAATTTGTTTGAAGAGAAGGTACGACGCCTGTTGCGATTCACTCGCAATCATTCCCAGGCTAGATACGTTAGATCGGCGGCAGGTGAGTTGCAACTGCATCGTCCGGGGCGAGTGGCCGTACGGTTCACAATACAGAATGACCTCAACGATCCGGGGCCCTCGCAGCCGGGTGCGAAATGCCGGCAAACGGTCGTGGCCGGGTCTGCTTGATGAATATTCATGATTCTTTTTTTCTGATCGGCCATCGCGGGAAAGAGGAAGTGAATTCTGCTGGGCGCAACGCGTCGCCGCGCGTTAAGGACAACCCGCAGGGCACCGCGACGCGACGCGACAGGGCGCATACTAATCGGCTCACCGATTTTCGAGACTTCCGACTCGCAACCGCGTTTCTCAGGCCTTTCTTTCTTTCTTCAACGTTCCACGCGATAAACGCGCGACTTCGATAATCCCTTCGGTAACTTTGTCGCTTCGTTCATACATAATTATCTGTGCGTTCTGTTTCAGGTTCCGATCGCGGAGTACACGCCGTGGAACCAGCCACGATAATTTCCCAGACGTTAGGACAAAGGATCGAGCCGTTTCGGTGAGTGATCGATGCATTTCAGCCAAACGCGATTATTTCGTGAAAATTTCAGGGACGACCGAACCCCTGACGGCGCGTTAAATAAAAATATTCATTGGCGCGCGGGAGGACGGACGGCTTACAGTTTTATGGAGCTTAATTGTAAGCGAAACGCGGCGTCAGGACGTTAATTTAATTCGTATCGCCTCGTTTCCGGACCCTTGGACGCGCGAATTATGGCCGTTGGAGAAAAATCCCCCTGGCAAACTTCAAATATACTCCTCGTCGTTAACATCCTCTGTAACCCTCGAAGAAATAAACGCCGTCTAGTCGAACTCGAGACACCTTTTACGATCTCCGCGGCTGTTGGAAGGCTCGGAAAGGAGAACGCGTCGAAGAAAAGAGCGTAGATTCGAAGAGGAAGGGATAGAGAAGAAGCGAAGTAGCAGCGCAGTTAGCGCCAAAATAAAATAAGGTGGAACGAAACGAAAGGCAGGAAAAATAAGTCGGCCCTTATCTCGTCCTCGTCCCGTTCCGTTTCGCCTATGCATATTCAGGAGGCACGTGGTGTCCTCTTCGTTCCTCCCTTAGCCTACACTCTCTTTCTCTCTCTCTGTGGCTACGTAAACTGTACGAGGCATCCCCGGTTCTCGTGGTTGGTACCACCGGCTGGCTCGTTCGTACCACGACCAACTCTATACTTACCTACGTCCGCCACCCGCTAATTTCTAGGCTTCCTTCTTTAATTGCACCGGCACGATAATAACACCGTGTACCTCTGTGTGAGCGTATATCTGGCTGCGAAGCCCTACGAGCCGCACCTGTGTGTGCGTTTCACGGGGTTTCTTGGTAAAGTAAGTAAGTGTATTACGGTGGTACCGTATAACGAGGTAACACCTACTCTTGCACCCTCGTCGTCCTGATAATCTCTATCGACGCGCGGGATGTCTCTGGACGATAACGGCAACACGTTCCGCCTTTTTTACTCGGAGGTCCGGAGTGGTCGCGCTCTCGAATGGATTTGGCGGGCGGAAAGGCGGCTCGGAGGACTCGCTCGTTACGTAAAGTCGGACGCACGAAGAGCGCCGCGGCGCGGCGTGCCTTGACCCGATCGCAGCGAGGAACGAGGCACGCTCTCGAGAAGCGATTTAGCATGCGACGCGCGTGTATTTTAGTGGAATAAGGTCAGAACCGGGCGACGCTCCTGGTTCGAAGAGGTCGCGTATGGTATCGGCGTTGCCGAACCCCCAGCAACCACCGACACAATGGCGGCTCTCTCGCTCGGAATGGAACGGAAAACGACTTTGCATTGTCCGTCGCGGTGACACGCGTCTTATCGCATTCTTATGACGCGCGTGACACTCCGCGCCTACTTAGAATCACCGGCGGCCTTAGCAGCGCCTCCGCCTCCGCCAACCACGGTCCATTATGGCCGTGGAAAACGGGCCGTCGCGTCGCGCCTTCGCCACGGATCGATCACTTCGTTAGGAGAGCTTGCCACCTGATCGTTCGACCAACCTGCTCGAGGGTCAGCGAGTACAGCGACCGTGAAATTTAAGGAGTTGCGAAAGAAGGATTTCCCGAGGTTCCCTGTAGATGGGAAACGAAATTAGTATCGCTTTCCATGCGATCCCGCGCTGCTCGATAGACTTTCGACAAAGTGTCACGATCGATGGCGGGGAGCCTCGACTACCAGTTTCGCCGGTCGAGGTGGAAGCGCGGTCCCGTTAGGCGCCAGCCTCGTTACCAGGCTAAATTGACGAGGGTCAAAGTGCCAGGACGACTAGACACGGATCTTTTCTTCTTTTTTCTTTCTACCGCTACCGTCGATATCCGTTGCCAAGATCGTTGCAAGAAATTCTAATGCCGAGAGGTTTCCACGAAACGAGAATCGTGAACATTTGTGGGAGAGACCGAAAGAGCGATTGGAAAACGATCGGGACGGTGAACTGCCGAAGAACAATAAACTGGTATCCTGTTGGACGAAGGAGAAAAAAATGGCACGCGTGGCACACGGTGGATACCGTTAGGCGCCGGTTGTAGGTAAACGGTAAACGCTGGTAAGCGGGTATGGATCGAAAAGTTGGATCGTCGGGGTGTCTGGATATATCGGGTCGATTAGCTGGTTCGTACAGAGAGAGAGTGTGGCGGTGTCGAAGAGCTCCGATGGCATTGTTCCATCGCGTCGCACCTCGATCACGCCTCTGTCACGTGGCCCACAATTCACGGGACGTGACTCCGAGGCCCTCTTCGGCTGTCTACCAAACGATCGTCACACTTACACCGTAACTACCTTCGTCGACCGGCTATTATCTTTTTTCTCCTTCTCTCTCCTCTCCTCTCCCCTCGCTTCTCGCGTAAAAAGTGTCGTAGGATGTAAAAATAGTTTAGAAACGTAATGCCTCGGATGATAGAAAAACCGTAAAGGTCGCCGAAGGCAGGAATAAAAAGTGAATTATGCGGAATTTTGAAAGAGGAATTTCGAGGGGACGGGGAAAGAAGGGAGAGGAGGCAAAGTACGGTGAGCAAATGTTTTCGAAACCTTAATTGGTACGACGATCGCTCTCTCTCTCTCTCTCTCTCGATCAAGTAGAAATATTAAAGGGCCTTGGGGGAAAGAACGGCGGCTAACAATAAGTGACGAGCCACCGGTTGCCTGGCTGGCGCACGAGAGCAACGACGATATCGCGATACCAAAAATCACCGGTTATTTCCCTCGGATTATATATTATTTGGAGCGTTATCGTTGGACCGGCTCCCTCTATGTGTACCCTGAGAACGGTAAAAATCGTTGCAACTTCTCGTCGATATTTTTTCCGGCCGTACGGCGAGGCTGGCGAGCGTACGGTGCGCGCGGAGAGTCGGTTCTCGTTCGCTCGCTCACCTGCCGCTCATTAGAAGCCTTATCGCTAATTAATCCCTACAGGAACGGCGTCACGGCTCTCGTGTCGTTGGCTGGCTCGGTTTTCCCTTCCTCCGCCGTTCGCCGCGTCCCGCTACCACGCCGTTTCTGCCTATTATGGTTATACTTCCTGAACTCGTCACCCTACCATCCTAGCATGGCCAACCTATCCTGGCCTGCGTGCAGGAATCGCAGTCGCGTGTTTCTCCTTCCGAAACGAGGGGATAAGGCCGACCCTTCGGAGAAAACGAACAGTCATCCTCCATCTTGCGATAAATCTTTTCGTGTTCATCTATGGTAACGCTCCCCCGGCTGGCTGGCTGGCGCGGATTTAATGAACTCCGGAGTGGAAACGCGCGCCGCGAACAGCTTTAATGGAAAGTGCTGCACGGGGACCGGAGGAAGGAACTGGTCAATTAAAATTGCACTTACGCTTCTTCGACCTTCCAACGTATCAGGCCTAAACGCGCGACAACCTTTCATTATCTCGATGATCCCATCGTGGATCGCTGTGCTTTTTTCACGCTAATTAATAGACTTAACTAGTTTACGCCGTGTTACGCGGCTGAGTATCCGCGGAACCGGAGATACGATCGATGGAAGGAAGGTATCGAACGGTGGTAGGCAAGCCGATCTTTTCACTTTATCTCGAAACCGGACCAGTTGAGCAGTCAAATTCTAAGAATATAAAGTTGTTCGGGGTGCACGTGTACCGCGTGCGAGCGATAGATAGGCGCGCGAACGAGGAATCGTCGGTCCGCCGCCGGTGGATTGCGTAAACGACAAAACGGTGCCCCCCCCCCCTGCTGCCTGTCCGTGGAATTACGTAAAGAAGCTTTCCGTGGAACACACGAGGCAACAAGCTTCAGATCGTACATCCGATTCGTGGTCGGGCCGTCGAGAGCGTTGGCGCGCGCGCCGCGATAACGCAGCCGGCGACATTTACAATAATGTATTCAGTCAATGTGTCAAGAGGACCGATCGTTGTTTCAGCTATCCGCAACGTTGTTAAGCCACTTAAGCCCTCTCGGGTACGCGACAGCTGGCATAGGTCAGTATCATTATCTCGCGAGGAACGAGAGTGAAACGACGAATCGATAGACGGACGTACGGGACATTAATAAACATGAAGAGGCGACCGAGGGCCCCTCCGTCCTGCCAACTTCCTCGCGCTCTTTCCTCTCTCTCTCTCTCTCTCTCTTATCGGTCACTTTTGATTCGCCTGGTACTTACCTAGCAACTCTGGCAAATCCGAGTGGAAAGCGTGCCGGTGAAATCGTTTTTCGAAAGGAAACGAACAATTAGGTGGAAGAAACCGCGAGAGAATGGGGGAAAGTGAACGCGCTTCGTTTGATCAACGCGATTACCGATACTTACGCAACCCACCGATTCCGATACTGCCCGCGTAGGTAAATCGCGGTAAAATCCTGAAAGGATTTCTCCAGCCTAGCAGGGGTGCTTTAAAAAATCCAGAGCATACTTAATAAGCGGCGATTCCCGCGCAACGCAAGCGAGCCCGAGACTCGAAAGCGTTTTTAAATCGCTCGACACGCGATACACCCTGCCGGTGGAGAACAGCTGTTCCAGCGGCGTCGATCGTCAGGCTTAATCGAGCGGCGCGGCGCGGCGCGGCTCGGTTACCTCGTAACGTAACGCGCGCGCGAAAGAAAGCGAGCAAGAGAGAGCGGGAGAGAGAGGAACGTGGGTGGGACGAGGACAAAGGCAGAGAGTACACCCACCTACAGGCATAGGCCCGCGAGTAGAGCCGGCAACTTGTTAATTATTAATCAGCATGTTTAATTCATATTGCGCGCGCCAGCTGTTTGTTTCCTTGATGCGCGCTAAGGTCTTGTACTTACTCCACCGCTTAAACGTTACCGCAGGTAAGCATCGCGCTTCTCCGGCTGCTTAGGAATTCTCTCTCCCTCTCGCGCCTTGCCCACAACTACCTCCTCCCCCTCCACCCTTTCTTATTTTCCTCTCTTTCCTTTTCTTTCTCCGTAGCCTCTCCCACGCCATGCTGTTTACTATGTATCCGCTACGTAACGCGTTCTCCTCCTTCGCCTCGATGTACATATGCACCTCGTGCATCGCGCAATCACAAGGTCGTCTCGTTCAC